CTTATATGATCTCGGTTCCGATATTAAATAATCAATAATTGTTTATACCCGCATTTTGGCACATTGGCTCGTTGAATGTAAGAAAATTCTTTTTCTATAATTGTTTCCTTATAGAAAAGTTGGTTTCTTTTCCACCTTAGACATTCCGAATTCGTTCAAAATATGCTAATTTAAAACACAGAATTCTTTCAGTGTTCCTCCGGGGATTTTGGACATGGACTGTTTCTTCAATTTAATAATGTTGGATTTATTTTTGTGGAAACGAAACATGTTTTTCAAGTTATGGATCATTTCTACACTCTTTCTTCAAATATTTCTCGTATTCCAGCTGTGCGCAGGCGTTTAGTTTTTCGCATCGTGTTTTTACATATTCGTAATTTAATTTTTTTTAATAAAATTTGGCAATAACCTTTTTCATCTATTAAAAAACAACACTTATCGGGCAATGTTTATTGTAAGAACATTTTCTATGAATCGACATACTTTAAGCATTGTTGACGCTATTTCCATTTGAATGAGGAAATAGCGTCAATGACATTATTTTTAAATTTTGTTGACTTTATTTCGCTTTTGAAAAGGTAATAATGTCAATTGACTTTATTTCGCACCAGGGTGAGCCTCAGACGACTAGTGTAAGGGGGGAGATTGTAGTCTGAATCCCAGTTTAACTCTCCGTCAGACACATGTTTCGATTGGCACATTCGGTACGCATGAGTCTGGCTGGACCCACATGCAAATTGTATGAATTTATATAGAAATTATGTGCAACATTTGTTCAGTTAAACTTATTTATTGTAAGTTATTCAAATATTTACTTAATTTAAAGGTTTTCTTTTTTTATTTTATTATTTAAATACACTGGCGATCAAAACCGGGTGCATGTTCGACATTTTATTACTTACAGTAACATAACTTTTTTAATAATAAGCGGATTGCTTTGAAATTTTCAAAAATTTTTCCTTATTATCTGAGATATAAAGCCCAGTAAATAGAAAAATTAACAAGTGATTCACAGCAAAAACGCAAGGCAACTATCTTCACTCAGTTTTGAACTTTTAGGAAGTATATATCAAGAGGATTATGGAGACTCCTTTGCTTTTAATAGCGATTTTCATACGTCCGGGAATGCTCTCTACTGAGTTTTCTATGATTTCGCTTGGAATATTACCCCATTATAATTTTGCTCACCTCCAAAGCTCTTTCATGTTACTGGAGCTCGCTTGTGCTATGCTAATCCTCTCTTGACCACAGCGCTCAATTTTTCGATAGCTTTGAGGTCTGGGATTTATGCTGGCCACCATGTTAGATTTTTTTCTTGGCATGGTGTTTTTGAAGATGTTAATAAGGTCTTTCCCAAGAATATGCCTTCTTAACGCTTTGGAAATAATTAATTTTCGTTCCATCGGACCATATTACCCCTCTTCAGTTAAAAAGCTCGAATTCTCGTGACTTTTACAAAATTTAAGTGGCAGCTTAATGGCTTGGGATGTTTTGCTTGCTGGCATTTGGTGTCTTGGGTTAATATAAAAGGTATAATGAACATATCCTCCAAACAAATTGCCGGACCATCGAAAAATTGAGCGCTGTGGTCAAAAGAGGATTAGCATAGCACAAGCGAGCTCCGAGTAACATCATTTTAGGTAACAAGTAATTTTTTGCAGAAAAGACTGACTTCAATTCTCATATAAAAAAATAGATATATATACTAGTGAACCCGCATGACGTCAAAACGCCAACATTTAATTAAACTTTTTAAACAGGTGAAACCCTATTAAATTACCTCTAAAAATATTCCTAATGATTAATCTAAGCCATTTCTCAGTGGTACTTTTAAAGTTTACGACATACAACAATACGACACTTACGACACCGTTGTGAATCCCCCAATAATTTCTTGAAACTCTTTCATTTGACATCCATCGCTCATATTTCATATAACTTATACCCAATAGTTCAATTAAATAGGTGGCAACCCTATTCAAAATATTTCCAAACTACTACCTTCTTAAACCTCTTTTATATGACATCCATATAGCGATACCTTATTCACTTACCAAATTCCTTTACATAATTAAAATTGAATACATTTTTTTTACATGTGGCAACCCTCCTATACGTAGTTAAGTTATAAAGCCTTTTCAAAACCATTTCGATTGCTACCCATATTTAATAATTGATTTAACTTATTAATTAATTTGAGCTTAATTTCTTCTTCTTCGAAAAAGTAAAACCTTCTTGAACATCCACACCCTAAGCCCTTTAATTTGGTACCTCACTTTTGAAAATCAAACGGACGGTGCGGATCTGAGGGCATTGATTAGTAAATAACTTGAGTATAATTATTTAACAGGTGGCAACCCCTTTCGAAAAAATAAAACCAGTTTGCACATCTACAGGCCAAGCGGTTTAATTTGACACCCCGAACGAACGGTGCAGATCTTTTATGCTGCACAAAAAATGCCTTCGCATATTATATACATAGATATATCTCATGATCCACTGATCGGGTCTTAACCAAATTAGTATGGGACCACCTCCGAGATACTACCTTTCCGATGCAAAAATAATTATCGGTTGACGGTAGTAAAGTTGACGGTCGGAAAGTTATGCGGTAACATACATATAAAAAAAATAAATATATATATTCCGACGAACTGATAACCTCCTCCTTTTTTGGAAGTCGGTTAAAAATGCAAATCATCTCTTGCCATGATAGTTCAAAAATTCAAAAGAACACTTTGAAAAACGGTTGCATTCTTTCATTTTAGGTAAAAATTACATAGGAATATATGTGGGTCCAGCCAGACCTATGTGTTACGAATGTGATGTATTAATCAACATCTCTATATATCTAGCTTTATATATATGATACCAACACGATTTTTTACAGATTGGTAATTCACTAAACTTTAGTAAGCTACCTGAAATTTCAAGCCTCTAGCTATATTTAAAGTACCCTTTTTTTGTAATTTGAAAATGGAAAAGGCCTGGCTGGACTCATGTGTCAGACGAAGGGTTAAATCACGCAATGCAAAAGCAAGAATTGCTTTTAAATTGATTCAATCCTATCTGAATGAACTTGGTAGCGGAGATTCCAATCAATAGATCCCTATTCTAGTATAGGTGTAACTAAAGTGGTAAAAAGAGCTTTTGTAACATAAGGATCTTTGAGCTCTTTTGACCATCGCTTTACAAATGCAAAAACGCCTTTGGCTTTGTTGACTGTACTCCAGATTATAATTTGAAATTGAATAAACAGCTGGATGATCTGCCCTTCGAGAGAAACACATAACTTTAAATTTTTTAAGGGTAAGTGGCATATAATTTGCATTACACCAACTAACCACGTTGCTAAGACCTTTCTCCGATAGAGGAAAATGTTTTAAAAAGTTTCACATCATCGGCATACATTAAAACTTTTGAATATTTTATTACAGAAGAAATATCATTAATGAATATCAGGAACAGAATCGGACCAAGGTGGCTTCCCTGAACTCCTGAAGAAACTTTAATGGTGTTGGAAGAACAACTTTTAAAAATAACTCTTTGTGTTCTATCAGAGAGGAAAGATGAGATGCATTGAAGAAGACTGGGCTGAAAGCCGGCTAGGTCGAGTTTACGGATGAGTAACGAGTGACATACTTTGTCAAAAGCTTTACTGAAATCGGCGTATATTACGTCGGTATGAGCATTTTCTCTAAAACCGTTTGAGACATGAGTTGTAAACTCCAATAAATTAGTGATAGTAGATTTTCCTTTAGAAAACACGTGTTGAGATTGTGAAATTGAAGAAGATATAGTATATGTCAGTTGCTTCGAATAATTTGGAGATAGCGGAGAGCTTCGCTATGCCTCGATAGTTTTCTATAGAGGACCTGCTGCCTTTTTTTGAAGTGGTATTATGAAAGACTCCTTCCAGGCTGACGGAAAAACGCCATGTTTAAGTGACAAATTGAATAGAGTTGTTAAAGGCTCGCAGATGTTCTCAGCGCAGTTTTTAAGAAAACAGGTCGGAATATGATCAGGTCCAGGCCTAAATGACGCTTTTAAGGTTTTTAAAGAGTGTAAAACTTCATCGGAAGATATTACTGGAATATAAGCAGAGTTGATTGGACGAAGCTCGTACGGATAGTCTCCACTTATAGGGAAGCCTAGAGAATAATTGGACTTAAAGAACTGTTCAAACATATTGGCAATAATGATAATAATAATGATAATAATGCGCAGAAAACCGTACCAGATAATCAATGTATAACGGATGGAAAACGCAGAAAGCCCAAGCCAGAACCAGCGCCAGGTAAACCCTTGGTAAATAAGGGCGAGGCGACCTGCCGCAAAAACAGAAGAGGGTGAGAAAAAAGAAGAGTCTCGCCAAACTAATCATTAAGCCAGCTGAAGGCAAAACCTATGCAGAGGTGCTGGGAACGATACGTGGTTAGCTCCAACGTGAGAACGTAATTAGATCTGTTCGGAAAACCAGCGAAGGCGGCGTGCTTATCGAAATGGAGCGCTGTGGCGACCAGTCAGCATTTAAGGAAAATGTGTGCTCCGCCATTGGTCAGCTTGGAGACGCCCGTATTCTCACTAGACGTTTACGTCTAGAAGTTCTGGACATGGACTGCCTAACCACGGCCCCAGAAGTGGAGAACGCTATACGCGTTGAATTAGGAGACAAGATGAAGATTAAGGTAAAAAATCAGCCGAATACCGAAGCCAGACCGAACCTTCGTTTGGGCACTACAATTTTCATATTGTGCTCGACCCTACCTACAACCTACGTTAGGTTTTGTTTCGGTTGAATTTCGAAATGTTTTTGAGTAGCACCGTGTAATAAAGCCAATAATTTACTAAAATGTTTGCTTTGTTCGGCCGCTGCTATTTAGCCATTTTAACTAATTAAACACTTAGTTGTCACGCAGAAATAATTAAAATGTTCACATAAATTGGAGCAATATTACAGCTAATAATACTAGAATATGCTATCACTATCGGGTACGCACCTGTATTTCGTTAACCAATTTTTCGCTGTTGTACTTAATGTCGGGCGTTGAGCTCCCTCCGGACGGTGTCAGTGATTGCTGAGGCGATTGCAGAGGCACCAGCGTAGTTCCGCAGCCCCCACTCTGCATGCGCAGCGGGCTGCTCAGCCCTATGCCCAAATCGTGTTGTTGCTGCTGTTGTGGCCCGATTGATTGTTGCAACTGTTGCTGTACCTGAGATTGCGTAGATGACTGTTGCTGCTGTTGTTGATGATGAGAGTGTGGATGCGCAGCGTGATGTGACTGCGTTTGCGCATGCTGCGACTGTGGCTGCTGCTGGTGCACATGGGCGGCGTGTTGTAGGTCGGTGGCCACTTGTTGCATCTTCAGCTGACCGCTGATCGCATCGGTTTCATCGGCACCATAGGCACTTGGCGTTAAGTCGTTCTGCTGTTGGTGTTGTAGCTGTTGCTGCAGCTGCAGCTGCTGGTGTAGCGCGTCGATGGCATTGTGCATATTCGCTTGGTATTTAGGCTGCTGATGTTGGTTGTTTGCTGAGACCACCGCGGCCACAGCCGTGGGAGCAGCTGCTGTTGCAGCCGCAGTCTGTGTTTCCTGCTTAACGCTAATGCCCAGGCGTTCACCGGTAGTTTCGTTGCTGCTGTTGCCAGTACCATTGCTGTTTCCGGCACTGTTGATGGACACGGCTTGGCCATCTGGCGTATTACAGCTGTTGGCTGCAACACCGCAGGCTCCGCCCTCTACATTCAGGCCGCTAGAAACACTCTGTAGTTCGTTTGATTTCACAACACCGCTCAGGTGTACTGCAGCAGCTGCTGCCGCTGCTGCATTAAAAAGCAAGTGGTGATTTTGTTGGCGTTGCTCGTGTGTTGGCAGCACTGAAAGAGTTGAAGGCAGCGCTCGTTGCTGTTGTTCTTGATGCACTGCTCCCACGCCGGACATGTGCGGTGGCTGTTGGCTGTGGTGTGGTTGTTGGGGGTGCTGAATGTGCTGTTGTTGTTCTTGATGCGGCTGTTGTTGCTGCTCCTGTTGTTGTTGATGGTGATGGTGGTGATGCAGCTGGTTTGTCGCGAGTGCGGCGGCAGCATGCAGGCCGAGGGGGCCGCGCGACTGTTGCCAAAAGTCCGCATCCATTTTGAGGAGCTGCGAGCGCTGTTGATTGTGCTCTTGCAGCAGTTGTTGTTGGTCGCTCTCCTGTCGTTGCTGCTGGTGTGAGAACGTCTGATGCTGCTGGTTGAGATGTGGGTGCTGATTTTGGTGGGTTTGAAGGTGGTGTGGGAAGTGTTGCTGCTGTTTCTGTACGGCAGTTGTCATTTGTGCATGCAATGCAGCTGCCAAGGTAGACGCCACAGGCGGTATATTGAGAGCATTCGGTAGCAGCGCCTCGCCCAGCGAAGGAATTTTCGGCGTCGGTATGTGAAGTTGAGCAATGGCCCTGTCGTCCGCCACCGCTATTGACGTTACCGCCGCTGCTGCTGCTTCTGCTCTTTCAACGCTGCCCAAAGCCTGTCTGAATCTGCCGTAACAACCGCTAGCCTCCGCCTTACCCACCGCCGCTGCTGCTGCTCCTGCTGTTGCGCTATCTGCAAACGTTGCCACACTAATTATGACCTCGGCCGTTTTCGCCGTATTTCCGCTTGTGTCTACGTGTGTTACTTCTAATTCTGTTGGCGCGAAGGCTTTTCGCTCTGCTTGCAATATTTGTAGTTGTGCTACTACCGCCGCCGCCGCCTTCGGTGCCTGATCCTCGTCAAGTATGCTAGCTGCCGTTGTTCGGACGTCGAAGTTCGCTTCTATTTCTAGCTTTAGTTGCTACCCTGTTTGAGTGTGCAGGAGAAGCAGTTGTTGTTGTGATATCTGACCCAGTGTGGCTATTGCAATAAATCATACACTCGAAGCGGTAAGCCCTTGCGTCGTACGTACAGTTGGTGGGCCGAAAAAGAAGCAACCGAAAGCTTAATGTTGGAGCAAGCGGTTGCCCCGAATGCGTGCCGTATGGATGAATTCTTAGCGCAGCGTAAATTAATAAGCTTTTCCTTTTTATTATTATTACCTCCCTTTTATTAGCTCGGGATGTAACTATGTAATATTGATGCGCTTAAAAGATGCAGCGATTTCTATTCTTAAGTTACATACCTGATGACAGTACCAATGGAAATTATAATAGCGAGGTTTTAGTTTTTTAAACTATTTATTTAATATTTTTTGCGCCGTTCTGATGCTGCTGCTGAGCTATTTGCTTTGAATATGTGTTTAATTTTTGTAGTTGTTTTTTCTTGGTTCGAATTAGGTTTTCTTATTTTTGTATATGCAAATATTTCACATTCTTTGCTGTCGATACCGGTGAGACCATTGCAGTCGGTGATTTGCGATTCACGTTTGTTGTTCGTAATTTTTTAATAATGTTCCTGCTGAGTTTTGGCGCTTGTTGGGATTTATTTTTTTAACTGGAGACACTAATATCATCAACTAGACTTTTGTCAATTTATTGCAGATTTCTTGTCATTGTTGCAGTAATTCAAATTGCTTATCAATTCTCCTGTTTGGGATTGCACCCCACTTACTCGCTGGGTGGGTTTTGTGTTACCTACTTTAAAGAAGGTGACAGCCAAGATATTTAGGACATTTTATAAGGTAATTATTAAGTTGGAGATATGTATTTATTGAATATTTTGCATGCGCTTATCAGTTATACATTAGCCATGCGTTCAAAAATAATTACAATTATTAGTTTTAGTTTTAGATCATGTGAACGGGTTTATTTATATGTGTTTACGTATACATACATATACATACATATATACACTCTTTACTGTCTACTATTTTTGTCCACTTTTTACCATTCAGTTTTTCAGCTTTTGACTGTCCACTTTTTTCCTCCCCTGTTACAAAATTACCAAAAATGTATATCCAAGTTTTGAACTAACAAAAAATATCTACTTTAAGTTTATAGTTACCAAAAATTAAAAAAATGCTCTTTTTGAATTCAAAATTTTATATTTTTATTTCTACTTCTAAAAGCCGCACTCAGAAACACTCTTTGAATTATTTCTAATGAACAATTTACTAATAATCGTTAAACACACTGTGGGTTGGGATCACAAAAAAAATAAAATAATCGATTAATTAATCATACGATTAATCGCAATCCACAAAAATTAATTGCAATTATTGAGAAATAATTGGTTAATCGGTAAGGCATTTTTTACAGTGAGTATTCACAAAAACATTTTCCATAAACAATTCCTAAATCTCTTCGTAACTAGCCCTAAATAAACTAAAACGAATATTTTTAGTGCCGATAATTATATATTATTTAACCATTTTTGCGACAGTCAATTTTACAAACGAAAAAATCAATATAATCACAAAACTGGGGGCCAAATATAGTAAAACTGCGTTTTTAGTTTTTCTCTCTGTGGTCAGGATTTTTTTAAAAGGACTTTGAAATTTCTAGAATATGATTGAATAAAAAAATTATTCAAAAAATGCGGTGCATTGTATGGGTTCCAATTAAAAGGAAAAATTCTGTAGAATAGAAAAAAAAAATGAATTTTTGGGTACACAAGGACGAATAAGTATTGATAATGTCGTTTTAAAACTTTATCCTTGAGTATCCTTGAAAATTTCCAATATTTGTTTTTTGAAAAAAATATATGTCATGGACTAATATTTTAACTACCAACTCCTAGAATTTTGTCCTTCTAACTTTATTAGTTTTAGATAAAAACAAATTTACACTTCCCTTTATAAGAAATTGATAGTTACAGTATACATAAATGAAGATACTGGAATCATGATGGAACCATGTATGCGCTCTAAAAGAACAAACTGACCGTATGATATACCTACGGTTTAAATACTTTAATTGTTTTGTATACAAGGGCGTAGGCAGCCTTTCATCTAGGGGCAGGAGTTTATATAGAAGGAAAAAAATGTTTTTAATTATATTTTTTGTTGTATATACACCGAAGTTTTTGGGTTTAAAAAAGTATAAGTTTATTGGTAGCCTTTACAACGATACCAATTTTTTAAATATCAAGTAATTTTTTTTTTTAAATTTTTTTCTTTATAAAAAAAAGGTATTTTTTACTTTCAAGTGTTTTTTCTCAAATTTTTATACAGGGAGTATACAAATATGCACACCAGACGAATGGGGGTGCAATCGCCTTTACAACGATACCAATTTCTTAAAAATCGCTTAGTAATTTCTTTCTTATTTTTTTTATAAAAAAAGGTATTTTTAAATGTTTAAGTGTTTTTTCTCAAATTTTTTTATACGAAGTATACAAATACGCATATCAGAAGAAAGAAAATTTGATTGCGTTAACAACGATATAAATTTTTTAAAAATGGGTTAGTAACTTGTTTGTTTAAAATATTTTTTTTTAAAGGTATCTCTTACTTTTAAATGTTTTCGCTCAAACTTTTACATACGAAGAATACAAATATGCATATTAGAAGAAAGGGCGTATAATCGCGTTTACACAGATATTATTTTTTTTTAAATCAGTTCAAAGTTGTTCGAAATATAAGGTTTTTATTTTTAATATTTTTATTGAGCTTTGTACCACGATTGTTTATTAGGAAAAATTGAAAAAGCAACAAAGTCTAAGCGGTAGAAGTTATAGCACTATTTCGCTGTCGAGTTTAAATAGCGGCAAATCAGCTGCACTTGATAGTAGTTGGTTGAATAAGGAAAATGAATTAGCAACAAGAGTTTACGGGATGTACATAGCTCAGTGGTTAACGCTTCTGACTTTGAACATCGAATTCGCAGGTTCGATTCCTGCTGAAGTCTAGAAAAAAAGAAGTCTGATGAGGAGATGTGGTGATCTCCGAAATAGTGCTATAACTTCTACCGCTTAGACTTTGTTGCTTTTTCAATTTTTCCTAATAAACAATCGTGGTACAAAGCTCAATAAAAATATTAAAAATAAAATGTTAACAAGCCACAATAACATTGACATATAAGGTTTTTAATTTTTCGAAGACTGGACCTTTGACCCCTTATAGCACCTGTAGTATAAGCTTGCACAAAAATATTTATATACAATTTAAATAAGAGCAAAAGGTGGACTACGTCTGTAATTTTAGTGTTTTAGTTATTTACATATAATAATAAAAAAGGTCCTATTTCGAACTTCGAATGCCCATATCTCGATTTCGGAGGCTAACTTCGAAAAACGGAAAAATTTGCTTTTTTACCTATGACTCAATCTCTTAAAAAAAATTTGTTTTGGTACAACACCCAGGCGAGTGCTGTACAGTGTAATGATTCCAGTATCTCATTTATGTATATTGTAACTATCAATATAAAGAGAAGTGTAAATTTTTTTTAATCTAAAACTAGTAAAGTTAGAAGGACGAAATTCGGGATATGGTAGTTAACATATTAGCCCTCGACGTATTTTTTTCAAAAATAAATATTGGAAATTTCCAAGGATATTCAAGGATAAAGTCTTAAAAGGATATTTTTAACACATATTCGCCCTGGTGCACCAAAAAATTAATTTTTTTTTCAATTCTACGGAATTTTCCTTTTAATTGATACCCATATTGTTACTCTACAATGCACCAAATATTTTAAATAATATTTTTTATTCAATCATATCCTAGAAATTTCTAAGTCCTTTAAAAAAAATCCTGACGTCAGAGAAAACTTAAAAACGCGGTTATACTATATTTGGCTCCTAGTTTTGTGAATATATTGACTTTTTCGTGTGTTTTAAAAATTTGTCGCACGGTGTAAGCGTTTTGTTGTTAATCGGTTGCGTTTCTTTGTAAATGTAGCACCAGCTTTTGAAAAAAGGCGCTGAGCAGGCACCGAGATACCAACTAAATGACAGTTTTGTTTCGAAAGTCCGCAAAGTTTTGGGTAAACAGTTTTATTTTCCTCCAGGTTGACCAACTTGCCTACATACGGCTGATTTGCAACCAACTTCTAGTATTTGGCCAACTGGTTTGCCGATAAATCAATGAGTATATAGGGCCTTTAACGTTGCCGCACTTAGTTTTGTAGCTTTTCCAATGGGCTAACATGGACAACTATTTACACCATTATATGCTCTGAACTTGAGCATTTCTTGTGGCTGTTTGAAATTCTGTACAGTTACAGAATTCATATTTCTTGAAAATAATTTTACGATTATTTTACAATTAATCGATTAATAAAAACAAGACTACGATACAATTAAATCGCCAATTGGACAAAAATAATCGATTAATTTAATCAAATGATTAATCGCTGCCATCCCTAACTGTGGGGTACTATCACGGTAGCCAGTACGTTGCCAAGAGAGCAGCACGCCTGAAGCGCCGCATACTTTGGGCGCTCCTAACCGCCAGCCACGGATATAATGTGGCACCGCCCACATATGACCAAGTAGGTATATCTCGGTAACCGTTCGATCAATTTTTGCCAAACTTGGAACGATTATTTCGCTTACCACATAACAGCAAAAGTTTGAAAATTATTGAAATCGGACTAAAATCACTCCCACTTTTCATATAACGGTAAATTTCGGAGATTCTTCAAACATCGAAATTTAAGGACGCTAATTTACACAAAATTGATACTAACAACGAATCCTTGAAAATAAGTAACATTATTATAGAATTTTGGAAAGTGGGAGTCATTCCGCCAACATCTAACTATACAAGTTTATCTCATTAAGTATAACTGAACATACTATCGAAATTGTTAGAAATAGGGGTAAAGCCACTCTTCTTAGCATATAAATAGCGGTAGTTTTCAGAAAGGTGAAAAACTATATTTAATACTTGCGCCGGGTATTTAATGTTCGGCTCCACCCAAACTTAGGCCTTTTTACTTGTTTCCTCCTCGATTACTCCTAATATTAATAAAGCTCGGTTTATGGCTAGTGATGTTCCGATACGAGTATATATGAGTAAGTACCGAGTAGATTTTGTACTTCGATACATGTTACCAAGTACTTGGTGGGTATGGAATACATTGTGCAAGCATTTACTCGGTCGAAACATTTATGCAACTCTAGTCAAAATTAGTAAAATTGCCATAACTTGGATATATGAAATTTGAGTTTCTGAGTATGTTTCGTGAATTACTCGACC